GGGGCTACCATATATATATATATACACACTTGCTTTAAACCCCAAACCCCAAACCTAAACCCTAAACCCTAATTGACGCCTATTTTTGTGAACCACCCCGATAAAGACCCGAGGCTTCTTCATCAAGTTCCCATTTGAGAGGGTTGACGGAAGTTGGAACCTCAAATCCTGCTATCTGGGTACATCCAAACTTTCAGCCCTAGAGCCTAAATTATTTAAAAACTTGTAGCCCTAAACCCTAACCCTAAGCATCCATGTACTCAAAGAGTATATATTTTGGCCCTAACTTAGAGTAGTCCCTATTTAGGTATTGAAGCCAATGTATATACCACACGAGTACATGGACCCTTAGGGTAAGGTATAGTCTAGTGTGCAAGGTTGCCGAAGCTGCCACAAGCCCTCTGCCCGGCATGGTCTACGTGGCTTGTCTGCCCCAGACCGTTCAGGATTTAGCGGGTCAACCTTAATTGAGCCCATCTTAGCCCCCAAAAGCCTCTGCCTCTTGACATGAAGAACATACATAAATACATACATACATACATACATACATACATACATACATACATACATATATACATACATACATACATACATACATACATACGAACATAAATACGTACATACATACGTACATACACACGTACATACGTACATTCATACAATACATACACATATACAGCAACATCTCCAGAGAGAGAGAGAGAGATCTATATATATATATATACATGTATTTACATCTCTGCGCTAAGGAAGTCAAACAATGAGAATTCCTAGAAATGCAGGCTTTTTCGGATTCACGCAGGTGGGCCCTTGAAGTACAGGGTATCTGTGCACATAGGGTTTAGATTTGTTTTAGGGTTTTCAGATCGGGATTTCTCGCCAAGTCGAGTGTTACGGTATATAAAGGAATGTATGGCTGAGAGAATGGCTTGAACCCTAGACCCTAAACCCTAAACTAAACCCTAAACCCACTAAACCCTAAACCCTAAACCTTAAACCCTAAACCAATGTTTCGAGGCCTCCGAAATGAAGGCCGAAGGTCGAATCCACATCCTACTACGGAAAGTCCACGGTTTATTGGGTTTCAGGTTTAGGGTTTCGGTCTTAGGGTTTCAGGTTTAGGGTTCAGGGTCTTATTGGGTTTCAGGTTTAGGGTTTCGGTCTTAGGGTTCAGGGTCTTACATGCCCGGTAATAAAGTTTCGTCGCATCCGCTTAGAAACACTAAGCGGAGGACGCGGAGTACAGCAGGTGAGGAATACCCTAGCCTGGCTAGCGGAGGAATTATCACACCGGAATGAAATTATACTATT